CCCACACTCTTCCTGCTGTTGATAAATCGAGCCTTGAAAATCGCGCCAGGGGGTGTGTTATCTTGTGTCGTATACGGTATTTACTGCACGGACAGGTTAACAGTATCGAACAAGCAGGAGTATTTTTGGCCTCGTCCTTGGTCTGTTTGTTTCCGACACGTGAATTTTCTTTGTCCTTCCGGGTGTTGCGCACATCCTCACCACAACGAGCTTGTCACGCACAGTGTCCTAAGTTACGATGGAAAGTTTCATGTTTTGGCATTCGTTGTGTCGAACGTTCTTCGAGTTCTTGGCATACGTGTAGTTTCGGCGATTTTTTTTTTTTGTATTTCCACTCCGACAGCAACACGCCACCCCAATGAATTTTTGGTGCGAGAAGAGTGCAGCACTCGCTTTCCTTTGTGTACGTACGCAAGAATTATTTTGCGCTTTCCACCCAGGCCAGGAACGGAAGCTAGAGGAAAACTCACTTCGCAAGACAAGCTCCCTTACGCTGGGAGTCGAACCGCTGACCCTGGCCACTATCGTACAAGGTCAAGGTTTTCGAGGATACCAAATACAAATAGACTACCGGGGCGATATATGAATCTCGCGGAGAGGAGCAAAGTGCCATCTCAATTGAGAGTCCTACTTTCAACCCTACATACCGCAAGAGGTGGAGAGGTGGCAGACCCCCTAATAAGATGTTCAAAGCGCGATTGATTGCTCCCGAACCAAGATTGTGCCAACACCAAAAGTTGTGTGTTTTTGGAAACATTTCGTCGAGGGCTTTCCGTAGACGTATGGGGCTCTTTCCGCACCCCCTTGGTTGAGGAGCAATCGAGCTTTGAAAGACGGTCTAGGGGGGGTGCTATCGCTCCACCTCTTGCGGAATACCACGGTAATGTATACGGTACGGTACAGACAATCTTGGTTGTGGAGCAATCGCGCTTTGACAATCTGTCTAGGGGGTGTGCCACCTCTCCACCTCTTGCGGTAATCGATCGTGATCTTCTCCACACAGAGAATGAGCCCCGAGCGTCGCGAAAAATTGTTGATGGGAGTCTGTTTGGTGGTAACGCGTACTCCATGAGCGATACAAACAGCCAACGGTACCGGCCACCGTAAGCGATGGTATGTAGGCAAATCTCACACCTCAGCTAGACTAACCCCGAGGTATTGCACTGATTTGGCGTCTGAAACAAGTACATCCCTACTCCCATGTAATTTACCGCCTACAGTAGATGAAATATCACTATCGGCCCGCTGGTTTTGATCTTTTTAGCTACTCTTTGTTTTCATAGAAAATCGTGAGCCTCGTTTAATGTTATTCCAATGGAACGACCGTGTGGCCACGCAAGGCGTCAGCATCAGTCGGACCAGTACGTGTGTGACAAGGTGTTGAATGGAGATCGGGACGGTTTCGAACGTGAAGGCAAGAACATCAGTGCTGTTACAACAAAATCCGCGACTACTAAGCACCACTGGGCATCTAGACTACGGCATGTGCGTCATCCATGTTTCGGCCCATGCACTAACCGCCTCTGCTGCCAATACCGTCCGCTTTTAATGCTGCTCGGGGAACTGTAGATACACATGTTGGTTCGTCCTCCAACACTCTGGACTCACTGCTAATACATGTCGGACTCATCTTTAAGAAACGCTGTGTTTTTGCAAGAAAAAAAACTTGAAAGGCCCGATACGAACTGTACCGTTTTGTCCTCTTGTTTGATGGCGTGTTTTACCATTCCAGGCCGCGTCGCGCCCCGGCAGCACCGATCGAAATCCCGCCGAATTCTCGGAGGCTCCGCAGAATCAATAGCGTGTTTGATCTGGGGGGGGAGGGGAGGCCATGCAGCCTTGGAAGACGAAGGTGGTATGTGCCGGCCGGTACCGCCCGAGGCAGTTCGAATACCACCCGCTGCAAGAGAACGTGGTCGTTTTCGGCACTTTGAGAGGTGAGACAAGACACGCCTAGCCTTTGTGCCGTCTCGCTTTGTACACGAAGATAGCCCGAAGATACCCCTTTTTTTTTCGGCAGGCAAAACCTTACGTAATGCCGCCGCCGCTGGGTGAGACAAGGCAGCCCATCCGTTACCGCCCCGCTGTGCGCGCGAACAGCGGATTCATGGTCCGAAGATGCCCCATAGTTTTTTGCGAAATAAACGGTACGCACCGCCGCCGCCGGAGCAGCAGCAGCAGCAGCAGCAGCAGCAGCTGCCGCCGCCGCCGCCGGCGCGTGTTTGCTTGTGTACACTTGTGTGTACATGTTTCCAGATGAGAGAGGCTCTAGTTTGTTGTATTATTCCTCCAGACAATTGCGGCATGGACTATGCCCAGGCGCATCATGTTCAACACCGCTTGTGCTAAGAGCGAGGTTTAGTCTGGCCTCTTTCGATGTACAGTACCTCTCGTCGCTAGTCCCGTGTCTCTGACCTGCCTCTTGATTCAGCGCCATTCCTGCGAGGTACCCCGCACTGGTGCGCGGCTGTCTGTTCCCAGCATCGGTCGTCGCCACATCTTTGCTTTTATGGTCGCGAAGAATGAATCCGTACCTCTGTCCGTCTGTCTGTCTGTTGTTTTTCTCTCCCGCTATCTCTCTGCCTGTCCCTGTCTCTGTTTTGTCTCCCTCCCTCTCTCTCTCCCTCTCTCTCTCCCTCTCCCTTGCTTTCTTTTTGTCTGTCGCCTCTGCGTCGATTGCAGGCGAGGCCATCGTTGCCGACGTGGCGAGCAATACCGTCTGCTCGTCCATTTCGTCAGGGCTATCGAAGGACAAGCATGACTCCATACTTGGCCTGTGCTGGATGAAACGGTCCCCCAGCCGTTTCATAGTCGGCTCCAGCTACGGGTGATATATATATATATATATTTTTAGTTATACGTACATGCAGCCACTGAAAAAGAATTACGTCTACTTCAACCCGTTTTTTTGTCGTCTTGCTTCCTTTGGTGGACTGGGTACAACAGAAGCTCCCCGTCCACTCTCGCTCTCAAAGAGACATGAATATGGCGCGACCGCACATGGAAGAGAGTGTCTATAATATCTATCACTCCCTCTCTCTCGCTGCTGTCGACGTCCCATCGAAGTAACGCCTACAAACAGTCCTGACGCGTAACCCTCACCCTAGTCCCTACCCTACCGCTATCCCCAATGTTATTCCTATCGCTATCCCTGTCGCTGCCCCGAGCGCTATCCCCAACGCTGTCCGTATCGCTGTCCCAATCGCTATCCCCAACGCTGTCCCTAACGCCATCCCTAATGCTATCCCTAACGCTATGCCTAACGCTATTCCTAACGCTATTCCTAACGCTATCCCTAACGCTATGCCTCCCATCGGGTCCAGGTATCTGCGGCTGTGCGATGCAGGCGCGATGCCCTCCGTGGGGACACGAAACGCCTCCGAAGCCGCGGAGAGGGCGGAGGAGCTCCTACAAGATCACCACGGCGACTTGACCAGCCGGTCCAACGCGGTGCAGGAGGCGATGCCATTCGGTGGTATGGGTGGGGCGGAGAACGGTCCCGGGAACGGGCCAATCGGTTTGGACCACCGGTTCTCCGAAGGTTCGGAACGATGTCATTGGAGTCATTGGTCGCCCCTCATCATGCATGCGTGTGCCCGTAAACGTGTGTAGGTTATACATACACTCCCGATCGAGATCTCGAAACGTCATCGAGACGTGACGTTTAGGAGGATGTAGGCGGTTGCCTTCACACCACTGTTTTATTCGGTGTTTGTTCATGAAACACTTTTTTGCTTTTTCATGATTGATACTTGTATGGTCGTTTGTGTGAGGGATCGTTCGTTTGGGGTTTCCTCACAAGAGGAGATGCAACATGTAACAGGGTGTCACACACACCCGCGGGCGGCGGCACCCCCCCCCCGCCCCCCCCGATGCTTGCCAGTGTCACACATGTCTTATGGTTGAGATGGCCTCCGTGTTGGAAGAGCCCTAGCCCTGTCCATCGGCGACGTCGCCTAACCCCCGCCCCCGACACACGCCAAACCCCGTCCAACAAAACGCCTCCTCCGTTGTCAGACGGGAGAATCGTTACCGAGTTCGCGCAGTTCGAGAAGCTGACGTCTGTACACATCAACTCGACCGATGACCAAATGCTGGCTTCTGGGTACACGTACGGCGTCAAGCTTTTCGACCTCGGCACGGGTCAGGTGTTTTTTTTTTTATTATTATCGTCTGCATGTGTGCCTGACTTGGAACTGGAATAAACTTGCTTTTTTTTTTTTGGTCTTGACTGCAAATCAATGCTCACAGCACTTGTGTTATTTACTCCAACCCGTGGTCACGCAGAAGAAGACTTGCTGTTTTTTTTTTCTCACTGTCTGGGTGAGTGGGTGTATGCGCTCAACACATTTTTTTTTGTTTTTTTTTGCGCCTTTGTTTAGAATCACAGACGTGCTTCAACTTTTTTTTTCTTAACTGTATCTGTGGGGGGTGGGTGCAGTGTGCGCTAAACGCGAACAGAAAAGTGAGGGGCCCCGCTGTGCTGTCTTTGACTCGCGTATGTAACGCATCCGTGATGTATTGGTACACGGTATTGCCATAGGAACGAAATGCCCTTCCACTCACACCTTGGTTGATTCCCCTGTCTGTGGGGACCCTGTCACCACCATGACGCCTTCACCCCGCCTTTTGTCTCTTCCTTCCTTCCTTCCTTCCTTCCTTCCTTCCTTCCTTCCTTCCTTCTTTCCTTCCTTCCTTCTTTCCTTCCTTCTTTCCTTCCTTCCTTGCACCCTTCAGGTGGTTCGAGATTTCGAGGATGTACACGAGGATCACATCAACATCAGCCGGTTCGCGAACCACTCGCCCTTCGTCTTCGCCACGTCTAGCTTCGACAAGACTGTGAGTGGGCACACAGTAGCATGCTCCTATATTGTATCGCAGCACTCTAAAATAGAAAAATAGAGATGTATAACTCTGTGTACATTGATGGTCATGCTAAATCCTATGATACATTCTTGTTATATCCTTCCCACATACCTGGTATATGTCTAGATTTGATAGTTTAACAGAGCACACAATGAATAACGTCACAGTCAATGACAGTTAGATAAGGTGTATAGCTTTGTGTCACTATCCTAAATCTTGTGTATGTCTTTCCTATACATGGTATATGCCCAGGGTGTATAGTCTAAAATATGATTATACTTATCCCATATACTACGCAAGATGGGGACTGCTCTCAGCAAGATTGGTCGACCGCGGTTCATTAATTTCCTGGAAGTTTGCAGGAGGTGTATGTACTGCTGTCTTGAGGAGTGGTAACAGAATCATCGTGCCGCTTCCAGCGATATGTTACGAAAGCAGTGTCTATTCACGTGTTTCTTCGGTGGTGTTTGCGCGATGCTGCAAGGACTTCTGCAAGAGCTGTACTGTAGTTCTGAAGGGACCGGCTGGATTTTGGGCCCAAATCAAAGGCTTATTACGAGACGTATGCTCTGGGTTCGCAGCAAGGCTCGATCCTCTTTTGTTGGATACGCGGCTGCATTGTCCGCTTTTCACCGACGATGTCCCGTGGTCTGATGACGATTCTGGAATCATTGAATAGGAGGCTCACATTGGTGTGTGTGCGGTGCGCTGTCTGCTCGCGAACGTGATGAATTGGGTTGTGTCAGGTGAAAGCATGGGATTCTCGGGTGCGCGCGGACAACGCCCCCATCTACACGTGCCATTCGGAGATGGGGCACGTGATGTTGAGCTTCAGGTGGGTGGACGGGTCGGGGTGAAAAATGGAGCCCCGTGTGTCGGTCGATCAGTAGTTCATGAATCTTTTTCGCTTTTTGGTGGATGTTCGCTCTCCTTTTTCCCTCTCTTTTGTGGACAGCTAGACCTCGAGATTAGAAGTTTTTCAGGGCGGAAAAATGTCCTTGGTCGCTAGCCGAATAGACTTTTTAAAATATTTTCCAACCAATCAAAGCAGCAGGACCGGCGGACACGTCACAATATTTTGGACAAGCCCGAGACTTCTTTGTCACCACATGCACGAGCTGGGTACAGCTCACTCTCTCTACCGCAACAGCTAGGATCGGGATGCGGTTTGTTGCGATGTGTGCGCAAAACCCAAAGGAAGCGATCACCCGGTTCAGTTTTTCGAACTCAACGGGAAAAAAACGAGAAACCTGGCCAAAGGCCTTTAAAATCCAGTATAAAACGTATGTTCTCAGTCTTCCGGGGTGCGGACAAAAAATCCAAACCGGGTGATTGATAGAGTATGATCTGTAGACAGGTGTTGTAAAGGTTGAAGCTCTAACTCCCCACCTGGGGCCAGCACTTTTGATTGGTAAATCCCGGTCTCAATCCAAGATAATAATATTTCGGCCACCGAGTCAGGAAAAAAAAATGTTTTTTGGGCTGGTTGTTATGCCGATATTTGCTGGTCGTTAGCGGTCTAATCTCGAGGTCTAAAAGTATGTGTACAATGAACGATTGACTACCCGTTCGAGCTAGTACCACAAGTTTTTTGTTTTTTCTTCTCTTTTTTGGATGATATGTGCACAATTCAAGATAGACTTTTGTACCCGTCGAGTAAGTACCACTAATTTATGTTAATATTTTCCGGAGATAGATTGCTGTTCACAAATACTATCCAGACACAAAGGATTGCCCGTCATTTCACGCCGCAGGACCCTTATATCACAACCCAACTAGTATTTGCTGGTCGAAAAAGAAAGAGATACTGCGGCTACGTAACGCCGTCGTCCTCGAACTTGCCCGGCAATGCCACGACAACAGAAGTGAATGGCACTTTGGTGATTCCGCCTTC